CAGACAGATAAACTTACATTAGCATTCGTAAACTATAGTTAACAACAGTTAAATATAGTTTTACAGATGAAAACTATACTTAACGAATTGTAAACTATAGTTTACGGTTTGTAAACTATAGTTTACAGTCGATAAACCTAGTTTATCAATTGTGAAACTAGGTTTAGCTCATTTTTGTTAATTTGGCGTGCCATATGTAAAAGTTAAAAGTTTTTGCAGTTTCCTAACAAATTGTAAAAATTGTAATTATTTCTTTGTATTGTATAACGAAAAAAATCAATAAAAGAAAAAAATGTCTTTTTTTAGCCTTTTTCTCGGATATGGCATGATGATTATATATCATCAATTTTAGTATAACGCCCTCAGGACGTTAAAAGGATTTGAACACGTGACAAACTTTGATTCATATCTCAATAAAACTAAAAATTACGCACATTGGTGTTTTCTGTCTACATTTCATTCATTCATCTGTCAAAGAAAAAAAAAGGATCCACTTTTTAATATTTTACGTACTGGGTGTATAATTCACCAACTGTTATAATAAGAATTAAACTTCAAGAGCTAGATTCATCTAGTAGTCTGTAGATGAGTTGTCATTTTTGACTCACCGAAGAAATTTTTTTAAAAATCCGCCAAGGTTTGGAGAAAAGTCATATTAAGCTAGCAAAGATGTAATTAACAAAATTTTATCATGATGGTTTCATATTCATTCCTGACAGTTTTTTTTAAATAGAAATTACATGTGTAAGTGCCTTTTCTTGTATAAATTTCGATTTTTCGGGTTTGAGAAGCGCCCTCGAGCGGATGATGAAATTACAATATTTTTTTTTAAAAACACGAAGCGTTATAATCAACAAAAATACCCCCCAAAATTGAGAGAGGATGGTAATCCCATGACTAGCGAAGATGAGTAGCAATCCGTTGCTGCTGTTTTTCTGGCTTTTTCTTTTCTCTCAAAAATGCGCGCTTCATTTGTTCGCAAAAGCTTGCTAAGTTTACCTCTCTGTTCAAATAGATAATTGCAGTCGCTCTAAAACCATTATGGTTCATAAATTAATTTATAAATCTTAAAGAAAAAACTTGCATAAAGAAGATAACACTTAAAAAGTGTAACAAATTGTTTGGTCACCAAAGTCTACAGAATGATGTTACCCAGTTAAACACAGCACGATTACAACGAATTAGAGAATATATAGGCTGTCGTTTTCTTAAAGTCAAACAGTACCCAAAAGAAGACAACATATTTTATTCTCCTAAATTATTACATGTTACGTACATTTTAATTGTTTGCTTATGTTATATTTGCAAAGAAGGTCGTAATATTACGCACCTGTAGGCCAGTCATCTCATAGAACCAGATCACAATGATGTCGATGTGTTGTCTTTTTCTTTTCTCGGTAAGAATTGATTTGCCAAGTGTTTATGACTAATCGAACTTTATAAAAAAAAAAATTAAAATTATTTAAATTGATATAATTTATAAAAAAAATCTCTTTTTCCAAAGTTTATCATGAATTGTTTTGCATAAAAATTACGATTTAAAAATTGAACTTATGAATGTACTTACTTTTCATTGGTCATTTGAATTTTTTTTCAGTAACAATCTGATGGTACAAACAAGTACTCTTAAGTTGCAATTAAAACTGCTAGAGTTTCGGATTGACATTATCTATTGGGTTTTTGGAGTCCAGGTCTTCCATCACATCTAGTGCACTTCGTTTTAAGCAGTCCTATTTTTCCCATGTGAAGCAGAATTTATTCAAAGGTTTTTACACGAAAACCCTTGTGCTGGCCTTCAACTCGACATTTAGATATATTGACAACGTATTGTCAATTAACAATAGTTGTATTTCCATTTCTGATATGTCGACATGATTTATCGTGGTGATTTTGATAAAAAATCACAGAGTCTGACACATCTGTTTCGTTTTTGGATATCTTGTTATGAAAAATAAACGTTAATGGCAAGTATATTACGACACAGTTTTATAAATCAATGATATAGTGATGACTTTCACTTTTCAATCGTCAACTTCCCTGACTTATGCAGCAATTTATCCTGCAACTACCCCTTGCATTGACCTTATAAAGGTAACCTAATAAACCAAAGCTTTATCCGGTCACTGCCCTAATAAAGCCTCGTGGATGTATTCCGACGTTCTAAAAGCATTGTGACGTCATGTTTATTGCAACGTTTACGCCATGGCGTCATAGTTTCAACTGCAGGGATGTGCCTAAATCTGTCGGAAATAGCTTGTTTTGGACGTTTAAATGTAAAATTGTGTTGCAGGATAAACAAAATACATGATAACTGGGAACGACTTTACTTTACCGGTCCCCAAAATAAGGCGCCAAAATATATGAATGCCTTATTCTTTACTCTTATATAGTACGACGGCGTCAGCCGTCGTAAAAATGAAAAATAAGCGTTTTGGGGCATTTTTGACCACAAATTCGTAATCTTCGTCAAATTTTACAACAGAATGTTACATTAAAACACTTACGTTTACATAAAATAAAATCAGCTGTTCTCTAAAATGCCGTTGTCATCATTGCGCGTGCGGAGTATGCGCAGTAGATTGACAGGTGAATTTGTAAACAAATGCACGTTGCGATATGCCATACAAATTGAAAGACCTTTGGAAAATATTTGAAAATGTCGAAATAATTATTGACTGGTTAATTCAGTTAAATTTATTAATTAATCTGAAAGACTGTGTGTGCAAATTTTGTGACTTTGGACGTTTTGGATTACGAAGGGACACTTCATTCAGTCGGGATTGTTACGTATGGAGATGCTCCAACAAAAAGTGTCATAAAAAAGGTTTCAATTCGTAAAGAATCTTGGTTTGAAAATCACAATTTAACCTTAGAACAGATCCTGTATATTACATATTTCTGGGTTCACAAGTGTAACCAGGAATTTGTTATCCACGAACTTATTACGAACGAAATTAGTGAGAGAACCATAGTGGACTGGTACAATTATTCCAGAGAGGTGTGCGACGTGATTTTACAAAAAAACGGAAATAACATCATTGGAGGCCCCGGAATTATTGTCGAAATCGACGAAAGTAAATTCGGGAAAAGAAAATTCCACAAAGGTAGGCGTGTCGACGGGGTTTGGGTCTTTGGTGGAATTGAACGGGATTCCAAAAAGTGTTTTTTCACTACTGTTGAGGACAGAACAGCTGACACATTAGTTACCATCATAAAGCAGCACATCAAACCCGGAACTACAATAATCAGTGACTGTTGGAGGGCCTACAGTTCCCTAAACTCAGAAGGTTTCACTCACCTGACTGTCAACCACTCTATTAACTTCGTAGATCCCGACTCCGGTGCTCACACAAATACAATAGAATCCACCTGGAGAGCTCTCAAAAAATCCCTACCCAAAAACGGATCCCAGAAAACGCTCTACGACAGTTATTTCTCCCAGTACTGCATACGAAAGTTGTATTTAAACGACTCCCCAGACCCTTTCCTTCGCTTTCTCAACCTCATATCGGAAGTTTACAAACCCAACATAGCCGACTTCATCTCTGATACCATTCCGCCTTTAAAAAAAACAAGAACGCCACTAGTCGACCTCAACCCAACCCTCAACAACAGCCTAGATGATTTTCAGATTTAAGGTAAGATTTATTTGTTGTTGATTTACAGGAGACATTTTCGCCAACTTTTTACAAGCGAAATCAAAATGGCCGCCGTAAACACCGGAACTTAGCAACGGGTGTGACGTCGGAGTTTTGCGCGTGAATCTAGATGCTGGGGACCGGTAAAGTAAAGTCTACCCGATAACTGTCTTGAAATATAAGCGATATTTGGGCTCGGGTCGAAAACGTTAGAGGGCTCGGCAAGCCTCGCCCTCTATCACGTTTTCTTACCCTCGCCCAAATATCGCTTATATTTCAAGACAGTAACCATGTATTTTATATATACCCTGATCACCTGCACACGAATTCTATATTTCTCTCATGAATCTTACGCAAGAACCTGTTCTACGCATGAACAATTTCAAAAACGAGTTTTGACAAACATGTTGATGAAACATGATTATCAACCTCTCATTTAAAGTAATCATTCCGTAACTTCCATAGATAAGCTTATGCTATCAAAAGTTTGTTTTACCAATAAAAAAAAATATGTCTTTGACAGCTTTTCCTTGGACAAAGTCTCTCAACTCAATACAATACGGACCACCTACGAAGTCTATTGAGTTATGGTAAGCATACTTCACACAGCTGCTACACTTTTTTCTTCAGGGTTTTACATGCTATTCTATTTCAAAACATGCCATACATGTGTCTGTGTATAGCCCTAACGTTTTGCATTTACATTAATTTTAATATTTGTCAGATCTATTTAGATAGTTTTCAATAAACAAGTTGTGATAACAGTTGACAAATTACGAAATTATTATTTACAATTTACATATTTATGTTTATATATGCACAGATTTGAAATTATAATCCGTTTGTTTTCTTTAAAATTTCTTTTTAAATATTGACATACATTGTATAAAATGTATACTACGGTGATAACGGATAAGTGTACGATACTAGTAATTGTTTTACAGCATGTGAAAGGCAGGTAATTTACCATTTTTAGATTGTTCCTCCGATGGAAGTATAGATGTCAGAGGAGTTCCGGATGGTTATACGGTTACCGTTATCAGTACAAGCTGTTCCGTGTATCTGACGTCTCCGGGGGAATATAATATTCCTTCTATGTGCAAGGTAATATTTATTCCAAGGTGAAGTTTTATTTGAAATAATGTTAATTTTGAAAACACTTTTTGGTTAAATTTGCTAGTTGTATAATGTCAAAAAACGTACTAGCTTTGTTATTATTGTTAAAAGGAAAATTTTTTTAAAAAATTTAAAATTGTCAGTATTTCCTTCGCTTCAATCATTAGCGTATTTTCAAGCAGAAAAGGATATATATGTATGTTTTGATTAGGTTGAATGTAATTATTTTTTTAATTATCAGATGTCACAAAATTGAATAGCTAATTAAGCGACTGTTTGCTTTTGCTTGCATAGTTTAATGTGTTTCAATCAAATTCGTTTTTTTTAATTAAGTTAAGGTATGATAGCTTTGTCATTCTTACAAAATTAACTATGCGAAACTCATTCAATTTTTTTGTGCAAAATTAATTTATATATAAGGACTTTGCATTAGATAACCATCTAAGATTTACTGTCAATTATACCAGGATGTTCTTTTTGATAGGCAAGTGAATTTGATAAATCATTTGAATGAGTATGTCAATTTATCTAGACTTACGACTACTGGGGATACAACCACGGATATCCTTCTGAACTAACTTCGTCATACCCATGGTACCACGGCTCTACCCCTAGTTATTGGTACCAGTCCACTACCTCTGACTATTTCGGTGAGGTTGACATTGCTGTTTCTCATGGCACCCACGGTGGGATTGTGGGTGGAAAGGACCACCACGAGTTCCGTTTGATCTGCGATGGTATACACACCAACGGAAAATTGTACAGAGTATCTGATGGGATACGTGAAGTGTCGAAGTAAGACAGCATAAAACTTAATGCCTAATATAAATTTTAAATATGCCTAATAGGAAGTTAAAAAGTCATCAAAGAAAACAAACAAAAGAAAAAATACCAAATCTTCTAAGTTGTTTGTTCACATTTTTAGAACCATTTCACGCTTAGTTTGGACTTTCAGTAGGGCGTGGCATTCTCGACGTTACATATAATTAGCTTCTTAATTTACACAGCTATTCTTCACTGTAGAAATATACATGGGATACAATTTCGGCAAATGCCAATTAGTGTATCGAATAACCAATTACATTGTCTCATCCTGCAAAGAGATGGAGCTTAAGTCGTCTCATCGTTGTCAACAACAATTTAAAGTTCCTGATGTTATTAATTTCTTAACCAATGAAAATCTATTTGCCACTTTACAGGCGTAAACATATAGCGCCGAGAATACCACGCCTTACTGAAAGTCCAAACTAAGCGTGAAATGGTTCTACATTTTGAATTTTTCCTGTTGAAAGCCTATGTAATTTGAAATGTATCCGGACAACCACTAAACACGTCCAGTTTGTTTATGGTCTCTTGTATATATATTCCAATTTGCAGCCCAAGTGCCGTGCCGCCAACACTTTCATACAGACAGTTGAGAGCTGGTTACTACAATTACCCAAGTCTACGTTTAACTAACAGTGGAGGATCTGACATTTACTACACACATACCGGACAAATGATTTATCTTCTCCTCTCCTCCAATGGTGAGCACAAATAAATTAAATAGTACGCAAATTACATGTAATTATTATTTGAATTATTAGACAATTGTGAATAAGAAAAAAATCTTCAAAAGAAAAAAAAATCACTATATTACAGTAAAGACGGTTTTCAGTGCTATTTCATAGTGGACGACTTTTCCCTTTCCTCTTTCTCCCCACTTTTTAAATAGTGTTTGACCTTGCAGACGCAATGAGATGATGGACCAGCATAGTAATGAAAATTTCGGCTTCTTAAGAAAAAGGGGCGCCCCTTACGTTCTACTAGCCTGCATGATACTAAGAAAATTGTAAACAAATCTAAAACATTTAAAAATCTTTAACTTGATAAGAACAGCTTACCGGTAATTATTTATTTTTTAGATCCTCGCTATATCATTCGTCCAGAAAACTGTTCTGCACAGGATGGTTATAACTACTGGAATTCTAATCGAAGAATTGAACTTTTCAATGTCCATCATTCTGGGTAATTTACTCTTAAAATTTGATTTTAAACTTCATAAGTCGTACTAGTGTCAGACAGCCAGTTACATGTAACATATATTAAAAAAAAAATTGGGGCTTTGAAAATCTTATATAAAATATAAAACAAAGGCGGGGAGAAAACGGGGAAATTTCGATTAAATTAAGATAAAAAATCAGAAATGAAACATTTTGTAGATGTCTCTTGGAGCCGTATCTAATGGAGATGTTCACCACTGTGGGTCACGGACAGAGTAGTGTTAGGGCACCTGTCTATTCCTTCCACTTCGCAGGTGGCAGTGATTACGTATCTTTCATCTGCAACGTAAGAATATGCAGCAAGACGTCATACAATTGTGATCTGGTAATTTTTATTATATATATTGTACGTCAATGCTACACATGTATTTTGCTTTATAAAAAGTGTGGAAATTTACACCATAACACCACAGGGGCCGGTAACATACTGTTTTTGATTTTACGTAATCACGATATATATACAAAAAAGGAAAGGGAATTTTGTATACATATAGTGATTACGTAAAATCAAATACAGTATGTTACAGGCCCCTGTGCATAACACAGACTAGGGTGAAAGATTACGTTTTATTTTGACGTCACAAACATTGAACGCCATAAATGTGCAACGTCAAAAGCCAAAATAAAAAAAAAAAATCACGCTCACTTTGAATAGAAGCTGTTGCATATTGGCTTGTAAACTGGCATGCTTATTCAATTCGTTTGCACACTCCGTTGCAGTTATAAAACTATATCTTTAAAAAAAATATTCATTGCTTAAATATAATTATATGTAAACAGAGGTGAGTATAAATATTTTCATCAAGTATGCATTTGTAGTACAACTTTTAAAAAGATATCTCTTGTGATTACTAAGCCTAAAGCTTGTTAGAGAGTCTTTGATTTTTTTGAATACTGGGCATAGTGGATCAAGTCATATTACAACAAAATATTTAATTCTCGTGTTTAAAAATGGTGTCCCGTTTTAAGCACACCTGTTTTGTATCAATACGAAGCAGAATTTATTTAGAAACTAATACATTAGAAGATGGAAACACTTGCCGTGGACTTCAATTCGGCACTTAGATATATCAACAACTTATTATTAATTAATATTATACCTCATTTAAATAATGATATCAATATTTCCTATTGATTGTAGTGGACCCAGAATAAACTACACATGATGTGTAATACATTACAAAGTCCACTGCAATGTCTTTGAAGTTTCTTTCATATAAATGTAGTGATTACAGAAATTGTAATTTGGTCCTTCCAAAAGTAACTCTTCATATATAACGAGAATAAGTCAGAGACGTATTGTAATACATTTTCAGAATACCTGTAAGTCAAAGAGATCCCAGCGTGAATCAGGCGATGAGGGGGCACCTGCACACGAGCTCTCTGTTACTATTCAAGTTGGCCCTGCATCAGGTACGACCATTTCATTAAATGGTTTAAAGATTTTTTTCAAAAGAAAACTTAATATATTATTTCCAGATACAGTATAAAAGCTTAATAAAGTACGTATTTGAGAATAAAGCTTTTCGAAATTATTGTATACTTTACAGTTACAATTTAGGATTACTTTTCTTTTCAGGGGGAAGAAAATGGTTGTTAACGCCAGTTCTTTTACTGCTTCTTCCGTGTATCAGTTTTGTATTGAAATTATGATTATAGGTCATAAATAGTGTATTACGTGACGTATGAAACTCTTTCAAAGACCTTGCAAATTAATCTGCAAAAGATGTTATAAAATTTGTTATATAAATAAAATGTATTTTAATTAACTGTTTATTATATGTATTAAAATGGTGTTAGCAAATTAGCAGTATACGAAAAATTATTCAGGTAGAGGTCTAATTATATTTAGGGCATTTAAGGACATACGCAATGTAGTTTGAATTTAATTGACTTTTCCCCTCGAGTTGAAGAGTTTCAAATGCTAAAGGAACTCTTTGCTACCTTTCAATGGTTATTGTGCTTTTGTGAATGTCTTTTAAAACAACTTTGGATAAACAAAACATCAATATGTTAAGTAATTTTGTTAAATTTCTCTCTGAAGAATACAAAAATTTTCATCAATTGACATCTTTTCAAAACCGCTGGTAATGTATGCTGATTTTTTGTCTATCTACCGGAGAACCCTAGAAGATTTATCAGAATCAGACATTTCACTGCACAAAAAAGCAATGTGTAAAAACAGCATGAAAAAACAGAAATCTAAACTAAACACTCCTAACGCTGTAAATACTTCAAAATTGATCGTTTTCTTCTAAAACACCTTCAACAACAAAATATAATTCCTGGCTTAATTGCTTGTATGAAATTTAATGGCGGTTATTTCATTGAATATATATAGTTCTATAGGTTTGCATTGTAGAATCCAAATTTAATATAAGAACTTTAATGTGCAGTATAATGCTATTAGAAATAAATGTTCACTCTGAAGGCTTCTACAAATATCAGGATCAAACCTCCTGAAATACAGAGATAAAGATAATATAAAGATTTCATTAAGTGATGTCAAAAATGTCAAAGGTCAGATTCTTCTGATTATTTTCCAGGTTGTTTTTTTCTCTCTTGAATATATGTCTCTAAAGAATACAATATAAAAATAATCAAAAGGAGTGCGACATAAACGACAGGAACGAGATAAACAAATTGTATTCGAACCTAAAATATATTTTAAGGACATACGCAATGTACCTTACCTACTGATAATTTTTCAAGATATACTTATTTTAAGATTAAATTACCATCAGATGTTCATAGAAAAGTATATTTTGTAGAAATTACAATTCACAGTCGCATGGCAATAGAACATTCAAAATAGATTGTAACTGTTCTATTCATCCCGTTGCTTGTATAAACCTCTATAATATAAATACTTTTCCAAAAAAAAACCCATAATTATGGCAAACCATGCATAGATAGATTAAAAGATAAGACAAGATCTTTCATTATATGTTTTTTATGTTTCATATGCTTTTGTAGAAAAAGTTAGGAAAATGCAGATATACACTTTTGGATTCTGTTTTTAACGGCTTCTCATTAATTATACCATTTATTGAAATTGCTCAAGAAACCTTCTATTATCAAGGAAAAATAAAGAAAAATGGGGATGATAATGAAAAAGACGTATTGTATACACAATGCAAATCAGCAAAAAGGGCATAAAACAAAGACCCTGGAAATGTTACAAGTGGGATCAGGTGCCTAGGAGGAGTAAGCATCCCCTGTTGAACAGTCACGTCTGCTGTGAGCCGTATGATTGATCAAGTAGACTTAAGTTTCAACCTTTTTGCTTACTTAGGGATACATGTATACTTGTATATACTATCTCTATAATACTAACACTATAACATTGACGTCGATGATAAACATCATGCATCAAATAAAAACTCCTAATTTATTCAAAATTAACAACTTTGCTATACATATATATCTATCATGTCAACAACAGATGTAATGGGAGGGAACATCTTATAGTACTTTTGCACTCAAGTTGTTCAAGTTGTTTGCCTGGTATAAAACGTAACGGCTGATGAGCATAGACTTAGTATTTACTTTTCAAATGATGGCTGGGGTTATAAATCAGAGTTTAGAAAACTTCTCCTTTCCCACTAGTAGTCTAGAGTCTATTCTAGAACGGAAAATTCTAGTTTCATATTCATGGAAGTCGGTGTGCCTGCTGTAAGCTTATTTGGATTAGTGGGGAACGTTTTAAGTCTACTCGTACTGACAAAAGAAAATGTCTATTGTTTGACTACTATGGAAAAAATCATCGCATATTGTTTTGATTGCTTTAGCTGTGTCTGACTTTATGTTCTGTTTACTGGCCCTTCTGTTTACTACACTTCCTCTACAGGAAACATACCGAGAGCGAAATATAGTTTTGTACTATCACTGGCTTAGAAATGCTTTCTTCAGTTTATCCATCATAAGCAGTACAGGGTTAATTGTGATAATGGCAGGTGAGAGATATCTAGCCATCTGCCATCCATTCCAAGCCAAGGCCGTAACTACCATTGAGGCAAGTGAGGCAAATGCCTCACTAAATATTTAGAGTTTTTTGAAAAGTGAAAAAGCTTTACATTGTACTTATGTGTGTCTTCGTGCAAAATTAATATTTTCAACTTTTATTTCCATTTCTGTAAATCGTTCATCTCACCAGGTGCCTCATTTTCATTTAGAGCGCATGTAAAATTTAATTCAAAATGTTTATTTTGTAAATTGTGCAATTATTTAACACCCCTTCTAAGAATTTCTCATTCATATTGAAACACTTGCCGATGGAGGGCTGCAAGTTTTAAATCTGTACTGGGCTTTCAGGATCACTGAAGATGATTGAACAGTGAGAGGTCTTTTTTGTGCCATTACTTACTGTGACATAGGATCTCGGTTTTTACGGTCTCATCCGAGGAACCTGTCTCTACATCCCGCAGCGGGATTCGAACCCGTGATGTAGTCTGCGACTTTAGAGCACACGCTCTAACCACTGCGCCATGCGGGCGACAATTCAAAACGTAAAAACTTTTTTAAGATTAAATATTTTATTAAATAATACCCAGGTTTCAGGACCTCCCTCCCCTTGGAAACCTCAATCACTCGTCATGAGGTACTATCCTTGCCCCGTCTGAGACTAGGAATGCCCAGCACCCTTGCCTCACTAAAAATTTGAGCCTAGTTACGGCCTTGCAAGCCTGAAAGCTGGTATCTCTCAAAAAAACAAAACTTGCTATATTTCTTGTGCATATGCTCTGTTTTCTGTCAATAATACCTTTGTTTTTTTTAATCGGAAATAGTGGAAACAATATGCCTTGATCGTTCCCGGGTGTACAAAATCGAAAGACGTAAAAATCCGAACGAGAAGAATGATATGGTCAATAGTTTTCGATTTCATTCCATGCTGTGCTCTTTTGTTCTTATATAAATATTTGTCTCATTTGGAAAATTCGCAGAGCACAAGGAATACAAAAGAAAATGACTCCAGGGAGAAGTAACAATGAATTTGTTATATATTCCTCTGCAATGAAGAATTCGGACGACCAGGGCACTTGTGTGTCCTCAAAATCTCCCAACAACTCTAGTGGTTGTCCTAAAAGAAGTTTTGAACAAAGCTCATTGATACAAAATAGAAAACAAGGAATAGTTCCACACTGGAGAAAGAGTCCTGACACAATTCTCGACAGTGTACCTATCATTCTGTTGGCAGTAGTTATTTTCTTTTTAATTTCGTTTTTCCCATCAGAAATCATCAAGTTTATTTATGAACATATTCACATCATTGACCGTATTGGTAAGAACAAACATTACGAGGGGCGTACAATAAATAATGTCATGGGGGCTCGGAAAGAAATAAAAAACGCTTCCCTATGACTTTGTCTTAATGATTTAACTAAAATATTTTCTTTCAATTAAAATGCATATCCGTAACATTTTCATTCAATTTCTAATTGTTTTTCGAACACATGTTTTAGTATGACCTTTCGTATACTGGAATACGGCAGATCCTATGATTTGCTGTACTTGTTTTTTTCTTTCTGATATATGTTTTTCTAAGTTTAGGAAATGAAAAAAGTCAAAGATTGAAAGATCTGGCAAATTTTGTTGGTGTGACAAAACATTAACTTCCTGTTTATCCCCAAACTCCTGTAGCCAGGTGGCACATAAGGCAGCCACACAGTCCATCCACTCAGTCTCATCCTTTGCTCTTGTTTCTATTGCCTTCCACGTCCGCCCTATCTCTTTCATCTCTTTCTCTAATGTTCTCCGCCATATTGTTTTTGGCCTGCCCCCTTTTCTCTTGCCATCAGCCGTCCAGATTGTGCTCTCCCTGGTGATGTTGCGTTGGTCTTTTCTGAGCACAGGGACGACCCATCTCCACTTTCTTCTTTCAATTTCCTCCACAATGTCATCTTGTCCTGACATCTCTCTGTAGTCGTTGTTGAATACTTTTGGTCATCTGATTTAAATTTACATGTAAATATGGTCCGTAGGCATAGATTAACAAACACTCTTAGTTTTCTCGCTGGATCTTTCCGGAGCTTCCAGCATTCTGATCCATATAGTAATGCTGATTTTACATTACTATTGAAGATCCTGAGCTTTGTCTTAAAAGTCATATAGGAGGAGGTTCACAATTGGTTTTAAGATGGACGGGATTTGTTGATTCTTGATGTAATGTCCTCGTCAGTACCTCCTGATGTTGTTACAATGCTTCCCAGGTATGTGAAGGTGTGTACATCTTCCAAATATTCTCCATTTACTTGTACGTGGTTGTTATTCCGTGCATTAATTCTCAACATTATTTTGGTCTTGTTTAAGCTGATGTTTAAGCCAAAATGTTTAGATGTTGCATGGAGTTTGGTTGTTTTCTCCGGGATTTGCTGATAGGTAGATGAGATGAGACATAGGTGGTCGCCATAAACCTGGTTATCCAGTTTGTTTTCCATTCTCAATCTGATGCCGTTATCTTTTTCTCTGGTGGATTCCCTCATGACCCAGAATATCGCCAGATGCGATAACAGACAGTCCTGTTTCAGTCCAGATGTTAGTGTTTGAGCACTGAAATCCTTCAAGCAGTACCCTGATATAATGTAAGTTATCTTTGATGGTAGTCCATAAAGTCTCAAGATCTTCCATAAACTTTCCTGATGTACACTATCAAGCGCCCTTTCAAAGTCTACAAAGGTCAGTTATCTAGAAGACTGCCATTCTATGATGGACTGCTCTTTGATATTT